CTCAAACCCAGGGAAAAGATGGGCAGAGATTCCCTCACTCTCAAGTTCAAGTTCATTTCAGAGGCTAGAAAAACAGAACCCCTTTTATTCCCAGTCTCTCTTACATCGGGAGTGACCGTGTGACAGAGTTCTGGCCCATCAGATAGGAACAGAAGTCTTGTTGCATCACATGACTAAAGGATTAGCGTCCCTCCAAGTGAATTTGGGGAATAAATAAAGTCACAGGCACAGAAAGTAGCTTTTCTTTGGGTTCAGTGACCCACTCCTCAGCTGAAGCTCCCACAAGGGAGGCAAGGCAGGCCAGAAAGAGAGAGCAGCACGTGTTGGACCGTGTTGGTCAGAACCGGTGCATCAAAACTGAAAGGCATGAGGGGGAAGACTGGGGATTGAACCCAGGGCCTTGGGCATGCAAGGCAGATACTCTACCAACTGAGCTATATCCCAGCCCTGAGGCCTAAAGTCTTGATCGCTATTTGTGACCCAAGAGAATCCAAAGATGCACAGTTTTCGTCTGCCTCCAGACCTCTCTCCCCGACCCTGGCCCAGTACTAGGGATGGACCTGGCCTGCTGGACAAGTGCTCTACCACGGAGCTACATCCCCAGCTCCCCAGGCTTCTTTTTATTTGAGAGAGAGAGAGAGAGAGAGAGAGAGAGAGAGAGAGAGAGAGAAAGGAGGAGGAGGGGAAGGGGAAGGGGAAAGGGAAGGGGAAGGGGAAGCCTTGCCAACTGAGTTTCCTAGAATTTTTTGGCTAAATATGATCCTAATGGATACATGGCAGTGGAACCATGTATCTGTCTACCTCCCTGATTCTGTTCACCTTCTCTCCCTGCCTTCCTGTCCCACAAAGTCTCAGGCCCAGAAGAGCCCTGTTTCCCTCTATTGTCTATTCTTGCTCATATGATAACTACTTCCATAAAACTCTGCCGGTCCCACCTATCTGCAGCCTCTTGAAATGTCCAAGTAGCAAGTAAAGGAACAGAAAAATCTTTCTTAGTCGGGCGCAGTGGCGCACGCCTGTAACCCCAGCAGCCAAGGAGGCTGAGGCAGGAGAATCGCCAAGTTCAATGCCAGCAGCAACTTAGCGAGGACCTAAGCAACTCAGTGAGACTCTGTCTCAAAATAACATACAAAATAGGGCTGGGGATGGGGCTCAGTGGTTAAGGCCCCCTGGGTTCAATCCCTGGTACCAAAAAAGAAAAATCCTTCTTCTCTCAGTAGAGCTGCCTTGCGTTCAAACACACCACCCCCTTCTGAATGCCAGAAGTTTATTACTGACTATTTTATCATTAATATCATTAATTCTGATTACTACGACTCATCATTAGCTCTGATTCTTAACTCTACCTTGGTTTTTGCATCCTTCTGTCAAGTCCTAGTCTCCTGTTATAACCTCACATCTTCCTACGGATGAGGAGGCTTGGGCTCTCGGAGGTGGAGTAACTTTTCCGGAGTTGGACAGACAAAACATGCCATGGCCAGGACCAGAACCATCCACAATGGTCATTAATGCCCACTCTCCCTGGGCACCTTGTCTCCCTCCACCAACCACCCCTCCCACACCCTGGACTTTGTCCCCTTTCCTGGAGGGAGGGAAGCTCGGTAAGAGAGCAGAACAGAGGGAGCTGGCCGAGTATGATTTATTGGACAGCAAAGGTGGCAGTGCCTGGAGCCGCTAGGTGTGGTTAGGCTTGGGATGTGGCAGCGGTTTGAGCGCGTAGGCGAGACAGCACAGGGACGCGTCTGGGCACAGGTGCATGAAGGACTCCTGCCTCGTGCAGTAGGTTCGGCAGGCCCCTTGGCCCTTCCAGCACCGTTTGAACTCCGTCCTCCCTGTCAGAGAAGACTACAGGTCACAGAGCCGCACATGGGTCAGAGGTCAGACCAATGGTCACAAGTGAGGCCACAGGTTAAGCCATCTAGCCATCGGCGAGATTTCTGGTTACCACTGAGGCTACAGATTTCAGTCCTGGTTAACCCACAGGCTGTACCACTGTGAACAAGTTCTTGTCCGCGGAGAAACCGCCCAAGGTCACACAGTCATTAAAAACGGATCCAGGATTCAAACCCAAGCAATCTGCTCCAGAGTCTACACTCTGAACCATGCCACAAAATGCCCTGATATAAAGGGGACTGTTTAAAATTAGATTCTAATGAGGAAATTTCCAACCCTGGGCCACAGAAAGGACAAGGCTTAGAAAGAACAGGTCCTATCCACCCCCGCCCAGTGGTCTTTGGTTATATGGCCTGAAATAGAATCTCTCCTTCGGTTTATTCATTTAACAAACATGGAGTGTCGAGGGACCCACAATGAACAATATGGCCATGGTCCAGGCCCTTCCCACAGGCAGGGAAAGCAATTTGAAAGCAAGCAAGTAGCCAGGCCTGGTGGCACACACTGGTAAGCCCAGCAAACCAGAAGGCTGAAGCAGTAATGAAGTGAGACCCTGTTTGAAAATAAAAAGGACTAGGGATGCAGCTCAGTGGTAACATACCCCTAGGTTCAATGTCAGTACTACCAAAGGGAAAAAAAAAAAAAAAGACCCTCTCTCAGAATGAAATTAGAGTCTGGGGATGTGGCTCTGTGGCAGAGCACTTGCCTGGCATGTTCCAGGGCCTAGGTTCAACTTCTTGTGCCACAAAAGACAAGAGACAAGCAAATAAATAGATGGAAGTGATCAGGGCTCTCTGATGGCCAATTTGAGCAAAAATTGGAAAGTGAGACAAGATTAGAACCACGGAGGCTTGTCTGTTGTGCAACATTTCTAGACACATGGCTTCAGACAGGCAGAGAGCGAGCAACACAGAACTGGGACCGAGTGGAGGGTGGAAGGAGAGGCTTACCTAGTCTCCCTGGACTAAAGAGGTCCCATACAATCCTCAGGTGACACCTTGGGACCATCCACAGGTTTCCCTAGCCCTGCCGACTAGCCCATCCTGCCATTTGTCCAGGTAGAGAATCTCAGGATGATACAATGCTGGCCTCAAAATCTCTACGGGACAGAGAATCTGTACTCTGAAGAGGGTGCGTATCACAGTGATTAACAGTGATGTGACCTCAGCTCACAACTCCTGAATCCCAATCCCAGTTCCATCATTTCCCAGCTGAGTGACCTTGGCCTTAAATTCCTCAGCTCTATGGCTCTCTTTCAGAGGAAAGTTACAGGATCATTTTATCCCAAGGCCTGGCACATAGTACATGCTCAATTAGTAGAAGGTGAGATTACCAGAATAACAGCTTAATAGTTGGAGCTCCCACAATCCATTCTAGATAACTCTCCACTATCCAGATAAAGAAAGGAAGGGACTTGATCAAGATCGATTAGCTGCTCAGTGGTGGGTCTGGATAGAACCAGAGCCCCTAACTCTCAGGCACTGGCCATTCCTAGAATAAATACTCTTAGCACATCATCACATCTGAGTTTCCCAAGTACCCAAGACCTAGAACTGTTATTTTCTGGAGGATGATCTGCTTTCCCTTCATGTCTTTGACAAGACCTCCCACGCTTTCTAGTCCCCATTAGTCACACGGGCCTCCATGCTGTTCCTCACACCAGGCTATCATCCTCCTGCCCCAGGGCCTCACTCCTTGACGCTCCCACCACCTGGAAAGAACAACTCCCCTGCATCTCACTCGATTCAGAACTCGGCTCAGACCTACCTTATAGTACAAAACAAAAACACCACAGAACGTACTTCCAGATAACTCACTGGAGCAGAGGAAAAGGCCAACAACAGAACCAGCTTGGTTCAAGTTCAAGGTGTTCTTGTTGGGTGACAGGTACTAAGGAGTTCTTTAAACTGTTTTTTTTTTTTAATTTGTTTGAAATTTTCTAAAATAAAAAAAAGTTGCTTTTAAAAACTCAAATCATTACACTAATCTGTTTTGCATAAATTTAAATTTTTCCAGAATAAAACATTTTTTAAAAACCCACCTTCTGGAGCTGAGGGTGTAGCTCCATGATAGAGCACATATGTAGTTAGCATGCTGAGCATATGTGAGACCCTGGGTTCAATCCCCGGCACCCCCTATAATCCCAGTGGCTCAGGAGGCTGAGGCAGGAGGATCACAAGTTCAAAACCAGCCTCAGCAATTTATCAAGGCCCTAAGCAACTCAGCAAGACCCCGTCTCAAAAATTTTTAGAAAATTAAAATAAAGGGGCTGGGGATGTGGCTCAATGGTTAAGTGCCCTTGGTCTAATCTCTGGTACAAAAAAAAGAAAAACTCACATTGCTCACTATTCTATTTTCATGTGTACTTGAGAATTTTCTAAAATAAAAAAATTGTTTAAAGCCCCATTGGATTTCTTCCTAGACCATCCCGTCAGCTTGCCCATCACCCCCTGCTGCTCTCACCCCTTACCTTGCTTTTATTCTTCTTATCACAGACACATTATGTGTTTTTCTTTTTTCTATTTCCACCAAATAAAGTGTTAGCTCCAC